ACATCATTAGTCTGGTTTGGAGTCAAGCCTCAGAATGTGGCTTTTTTACCAGTATTTTTACCAAGTTTTTAACCAATGTTTTGGTTGTTGAAGAGACCCTTCATCTATTTCATTTTCTTCTTAATTATGATATTCACCTTTTTAATCTGTGACACTTTGAGCTCAGAACACTTTGAGCTATTTATGACCTCATCAATGGGTGTTAAAGGATCCCATGTAAGAATGACTAATAATTCATACTTGCTCAAAAATGAATGCAGGATAGCTAACCAGTCCATAGTAGGCTTACTGAAAATTCTCACTGGGGACTTGATGTCTGAAATGTACACATACAACTTCCGTAAATGTTTCCACATTAGCTGATGCTGGAAGCAGACAGATAAAACACATTTAGATGATGATTTGGCCGTCAGAAGAAAGGCAACAGTATTTTTGGGAAGTGGATTAACTGGTATAGAAGCTGGTAGTAGATTTCTAGAACAATGTTAATGCTGGAAAAAATGTTTTGTTTCTGTCTTCCTACATTCACTCTCCATAGTATGAAACCAGCGTGACAGCTGACAAATTGATGCCAAGCAATGAGGGCATAATACAGGCATCCTGCTATACTTTGGTAAAAGACATCTCTTCTGGTACCAATTATTCCTCTCTGCCAGCACCGGTGACACACAGCCCTCTTTATGATAGAGCATATTTGTTCAGATATAATGGAGATGCAAGAACAAGCCTAACACTGATTCTGTCGAAGCAATCTTACTTCACTTATTCTGCTAATGGGAATCTTCCCAAGATAACAATTGCTTTTCCATCACTCACCTTTCACATTTGTTAAAGAAACACTGATAGGTTCCAAGACACACGTACATTCAGTGCTGCGTGCTGAAAAGTAGATGAAAACACTCCAGTCTTATCGACCTAACTATCTAGATTTTTACTCCACGCTCACCGCCATGGTATCTTCAATCCTGGCTCTCTTAGAAAGATACAAAAGGCATCACCGAAGAGAGTTCTTGAAACAGGCGGATAAGTGCCATGATCTCAAGGACTTCTTTAGAGATGCCTGCTCCTTTCAGCTGAGCCCCAGTTTCTCAGGAATGAATTCCCTAGACGGAAGGTTATACTTGTCTTCTCAGTGATCTGTGAGGATAGCCAGAATCTGAAGGTGAAACTCCCAGATCTTTGCACTTTTTCTCCACTGGCACACTGCAGCCTCCTCCTTCATTGTCTGCTCAGACCAATACAATAGTTATTCCTTCTTCAGTTGCAGGAGATGAGGGATTTCAGCCCTTCATTATTCTCTCTGCCATCTTTGCTGGAAGGCTCATGTTGTATGGCAAGTATTCTTGGAAAAGCTGGAAAGAAATACAGTGTAACAAAAAAAGTATAGTACGCTTCGTAAAGACGGTCTGAAAGTGGGAGTAAATTCTGTTTATACATCCACTTTAATACCCCTTTAAGTTGCTGTAGTGATGTAAAGAGCCTTCGTATTAATGAGAATCAGGCCTTAGTCTTTAAGATCCCAGTTCAGCAAGGTACTTAAGCACATTACTAACTCTTTACGCGTGTGAGGCATCCAACTGCAGCAAATGCTTAAAGTTAGGCCCATACTTGAGCATGTTGCTGAATCAAGACCTAAATGTCCATGTATTGCATTTCACCACAAGATTCCAAATGACACTGATGATACAAGAGTGAATGCCAAGAGGGACTCTACAGATTCTTTGAAACTCTTCTGATCTCAAGGGTGAAACAGGAAGAAATGTTAGTGATACCTGATGATTTCTGACCATATGGCGCAGGAGGGATCTTCTCTCTCTGGTACAACCTTAAGTTGTATGGTGAAAAATTATACCTGCTGTATATAAGCCTCATGTTCCAGAGCCTGTAAATGACAATAATGCTGACAGGAAGATCGACATGACCCCAGACACATGGCTGGAGAATCCACAGTAAGGGGCAGGTCAAGGGGTGGTGTTGGGGAGTTGATTGGTGCAGAGATTCCATTTTGAAGAATCATTCTGATGGAATTTATTTTTTTGCTGACTCAGAAAGACACATGAATCTTGAGCATCTGGCCAGCACACTTAGGATTCTATTGTCTGACAAAAAGATTTCTTATATATCTTCTCTTAACGTTTTGTTTCTTGTAGGTGAGTGTATGTAGCAGAGGAGGGGGGATGTAGACATGGATGCGTGTATGTATATGTATACAACATGTCCTGTTGTTCCCCATAATAGATTTGTAGGTTTGTATTTTGTACAGAATATATCTTGTTTGTGTTAAACAACATTTTATAATACAGTAGGTGTGTAAATACAAGATTTTGTTAGCATCATTATTTATTATTTTATTATAGGAGCATGTAGTGGTTACAACCGACTGGGGACTCCCATTGTGCTAGGCACTGAACAAACATTGTAGTCCCTTCTGACCTTAAAGTCTACGAGTCCCTGCCCCGAAGAGCTGGAGTCTGGGTGAGAGCTGGGAATAGAACCCAGATATCCTGAGTCCAGGTGCACTTGTCTCCTTGTTTTGCATATTAATAGATACTATGGTAAGTAACAGTGGTATAATTCTGTTCTCTCCAGTAAAGTTACACCACTGATGAATTTAGCTCGTCATGTAAAATTCAAAATGTTGCTCCAAATTAATAAATACACATACAATAAGAGTTATATGAATAAAAACCTCAGTGATGGCCTCCAAAGCAGCTGTGTATTTTGAAAGTTAAATATGAATTTAGCAAAATAGATAAGCAAATATATATTTATATCAGACTGGAATTACTTGGTAAATTATTACCCTAATACATCGTCAGTCACCTCAGAGATAAATATGCTTTTACTATGGCTTCAGAGTGATGAGATTCTCTGCCATGCAGTAAAATAATGTATACTTTCCCTTTAAATATTTATTTTCTTAAGGGACAAAACAATAGGCCCAGTCCTGCTCTCATTTTTTTTGTATTTCTTCATTGGCTTCAACAGGGTGTAGAACTTCTACCACTGTTACAACTGTGACAGAACAAAAGCCAGGCAAGTCTAAATTAAAGGCTGCTTCCCCCTTATTAAATCACAGCCTTGCGGTGTTTTTGCAACCCCAGCAATGATTTTTCAGATTCTGCAAGTTAAAGGTCACCTTCAGCAAGAATTTTGTTAATACATATGAATGCATAGGAGCCTGTCATTTGCATCTTTATTTGGTTTAAAATCCAGGATCCCCTACATATGACATTGCTATTTCTGGTTTTGCCAGCCTCCTTTTTCTTCTGAGGACAGAGCTACCAAACGAGTCAGATCTTGAGCATTTCCAATGATAGGGATGACCACTAGCAAACAGAGGAAATCCCTCCAGTCCTCACAAATGTGTATCTCTGTTGAAGAATCAAGACTAGAATGAGAGTCTGCAGCTGCAGAGCACACAACAACAATAATACTAGCTCTTTTGGAGTGCTTTTCCACTATAGCTCCCAAAACAGTTAGCACTGAGCTATCAGCACGCAGCCCTGGCTACCCATCACAAGTTGTCAGCTTCAGAAGTCAGATAGAGAAGGACTTGAACCTGAGCCCCCTCCCTCTTTGCAGTGAAACTGAGGTGCCAGGGAGGGGGAGGGAGAGTGAGCACTCCCCTGCACTCACCCCACAGCGGCAGCTTCTGTCCCATGAGGATGGGGCTAGTTTCCCTCTCCAGGTGTTGCGACCCGGTACATGGGGTTGCATCACCACTCAAGCTTGGCCCAGCTGTTCCTCTGTCATGACGGGGCGGCACTGGGCCAAATTTGAGTGAGTGGCATTGTGACCTGTTCGTAGGGTTGCAGTGTCACTCAGCACTTTCAGCAACTGGGCCAAACCAGAGAGGGGTTGTAATCCTGTGCACTAGCACACAACACCACTCACTCAAATTTCATTGGTTTGGGGGCTCTCTCAAAGGAGGGATTCAGAGCAAACTACCCCTTTTGCCACCGCTACCCTGGGGCAGCCCTATAGATATATACATGATTGCTTTGTGTTAAGATTATAACACATTGTAGCTGACTCCTGAAATTGCCAACTTGTATTAAGATTTCAAAGCACAGATGTATGCGTACAGTGGTGCCATGTGTGTATGGACCCTGTCTCCCCTGGAAAGTATCAGGGGATGTGCTGTGAAGTTCACAGGCATTAGTGGGAACAGGCAAGGGAGGAAACTTGTGGGTTACTGCAAATTAGGAAAGGTGGAGGCAATTTAAATAAGATAAGAACCTACCCAATGCACCCTCCAAAACTATGGCCGAACCCTGTTTCAAAACAGTTAATTTTGAAAACAGGTTTTTGCATGATGTCTCCGCGCATTCTGGCTTTAGCCATGATGGGAATTGGAAGTGACAAAATATCGCAGGGAAGGCTGTTCTTGTGGCATTTATAGCATGACCAGAAGTTGGGAGTACCGGAAACCTCATGAGAAAAGCTGTTTTTGTAAACTACTTGAACCTATTTTGCAGATACCAAGAAGTGTTGGTAACTCAGTTCAGATAAGCACCCCAACATTTGGAAGCTTATCTGAAGGACATTTCCAAGCCTGTTGAGGTTCATGTATCCTTATTGATTGCAAATGCCTACAGCCATTTAGCAGGCTAGAGAGAATGGATGGTGGAAGAGCTGGTCAGAAAGGGCCCATCCCCAGATAAACCTGGGGCTGTTTTAAGCCTCCCAACTTCATCCACCTCCTAGGAACAGCCCAGCTCAGCGGGGGTAAAAACAGGAAACCAGCAGCAGCAGAGGACCAGGCAGCAGCACGCCAGTCCTGCCCCAGCAGCCTCACTCCCAACTTCTGACATCAACAGAGACTTCCTGCGGGAGCGACATATTAGTGCGGAAAAGGCCCATTTGCACCATAGATGGAAAAGATGATGGAAGAACCATGTCAGGTCAGGAAAAGGGGTTGGCAGGGAGGGTGGGAATTATATGTAGGAGACAGTTTGATTAGGGATTGGAATTTAGAAGGTTTAATGATAAAAACTAAACAATTTTTGAGAATGGTTATGGTTTGTTTGTTTTTTAAAGCAAGAATAATGATCTTGAAATCTCTTTGTTTGTTTCTTGATTTATTTTTTTAAGGTGAAGGTTTAATTCAAAACAAAGTGAAAAAGTTTCCTAGCATCACATCCTCCCTCTCTGTGCTCAGATACTGTGGTGATGGGCACCTGTAAAAAAATCTACTACCTAATATCTAGCTAGCATTTTCATGTTGTCGAGGTACCTCCAGTTCTGTGTACTGTATCTCTTTGCTATATACTTGTCGCAAAGGCAACATAAATGCATTTTGTTACTATTACAGAATGAGAGTAAGGTGACTTGGGGCTCAATCCTGCAGAGTGCTGAGCAACTGCTGGAGGTGTTGAGTGCCTCAAACTCCCAACGCAAGACAGGATTGCGCCCTTTGTGAATGACTGAATGTGCTGTAACAGGTCATGCAGAAACTGAATAATATTCTTGGCCACAGAAGGCTGACTCATTTGTGAGACTACAGTATCTTTGGAAACATCCCATGTCTATTGAGGAAAACGCAAAGAATATTTTTTCCAGGAAGAAAGGGCATTCATTTGAAGTGGCTCTCTCCTTCCCTCTAGATGCTCTGAGAGTAGCTCAGTAGAGGTCCCCAACCCAATGGAAAGTTTGGGTGTGCTGCTATGATTAAATATAAGTCTACATTTCTAAAGCAACTAACACATAGTTATAAAAAGACCATACACATTAATAGCAAAATCTAAAGCATGCACAATAAAAATCTGGTAAAGGCAGACAGTTGCATCAGCTGTTAGTCTTTTACCTACTTGCTTTTCAATAAAGGCCTAAAAGCTCTTCTGAGTGAGAATAAGTAAGACTCATTGCTAGGGAATTGCTCATGCTAGTGTTCTGATATGTTCTGTGCAAACAATAAGCACTGAATTGCCATATGTAACTTGGGGTAGGGAATAAATAAAAGCGATGTTGTTGTTCAGTTTATTTAAAAGAAAAATAAGTGTAGCCAATTTGAAGCATCATGTTAAAATTAAATTTAGAAGCATAAAGACAGCTAAAATTGCACACACGGTTGCAATATATTTTGAGTGAAAATAACCAGGTTTGCCAACTACAGTTTCCTAACAGAAAGAGATATTGCATATCAGCTCCCAGTTCATGCAAGCTGATTCTGTAGGCCACCTTTATAACCATTATAATCCTTCTCAGTATTAGCTAAAAAGATAAGGAGCCAGATTCTCAGCTGGTGTAAACTGATGTAGCTCCAGAAAGCTATGCAAGATTACACCAGCTAAGGATCTGGTCCACCATGCATAATAAGAGAGAGAACAAATGAATTTTCTCTTCTGTCTCCTACTTCATTATCACCTCCAATAAAGACAGGTTTCAGAGTAACAGCCGTGTTAGTCTGTATTCGCAAAAAGAAAAGGAGTACTTGTGGCACCTTAGAGACTAACCAATTTTGAGCTGTAGCTCACGAAAGCTCATGCTCAAATAAATTGGTTAGTCTCTAAGGTGCCACAAGTACTCCTTTTCTTTTTACCTCCAATAAATTCTCTTTTGATGATAATATAATATTTACAGAAGAAAGCATATTCTTGCTCTCCACTATATGCTGCACCTATCATCACACCATCAGGGATGATGAAATCAATCTTTTGCAGAATCAATATTTGCAAAGTCTGATTCTTACGTTGCATCATATCAAAGAGCAACAAAGACTAGGGCTAAAATCTTGGTCCTCTTGAAGTCAGTGGGAGTTTGGCATAATTTCAAGTCAGGCCAGGATTTCACCTTATGTGAATGGACTCAGTCAAAGTTATTTTCTTGCGGTATATTGCCCATTTCTCAGGTTAGTTGCACCACTTGTGCCTTATCCTGTCTTACTGTGAGTCCTTTGTTCTTGAGCAATTTCCTTGGGGCCATTGCCTTGCCTGCAAAGAGTCTCTGCAGGCTGTACTCTCATGCAACACAATATACAGCGGGATTTTACAGTGTTGTCTTGTAAACCCATTATATTACATTACTAAGTTGTGAAGCTACAGTACAACAGTCAAGAGTTCCTGTGAACATCTTGTTATTTTTTCTAATAGGACCAAGATCCTCAGCTGGGGTAAATTGCTGTTGTTGTATTTAAGTGAATGGAGTTTTGTAGATTTACACCAGATGAGGATTTACTCCAGCCTTTAGCTCGTTGACTTTGGCATATTAAAGTAACAACAGGTGTGCTCATATCTAAGGGGATTTGTGATGGCAATGTAGCTTTGTTGTAAAGAGAATAGGAGAGATAACAGAAGTGATGTCTCATGTTGAATGAGGCAGTCCACCCTACTAATCCCATCTTCGTTTGGCATCTTTAGTGAGGTGAAACTAGCATACCTTAGTGAGCACAGTATCATCCTCTTCACATGAAAGCATGCAGAGAAGACATCTGTCTCATTTATCTAGCTAAAGTATTTATTATCTGATTATCAGAGGTATCTGAGCACTCAGAGCCTGCATTGCCATCAAAAGGTGCTTGTTGAGGACAGGATTCTTGGTGATATGACTGTCCTGAGCTTCTGAACAAGGTCAAAAGGGTGAAGAAATCAGTGCAGCCCACTTTTGTACATGGGAAGCCCAGATAATAACTCTGAATGAAAGAACCCTTGAGTGTTGAGGTCACACAGAGGAACATGCAGAATGAGAGAAGGAACATTATTTTGCTTATATAAATCTGTTGTTTCATGCAAGAAGAAATGTGGAAGTAACTGGTAATGATGTAGAGTTATTATGGCCTGATAATTGAAATGTTTCAGAGAGTAAACTAGCTATATGAATGTTATTGGCCACTTATCCAAAAAGAACAACTGGAGTGTGAAATCACTGCTCAAATAAAAAAGCAGGCAAAAGGGCAGAGTTGTATTAGTGGGAGATTTTAACTCCCAGGCACAGAGAGGAGCGTACATTAAATGGAGGAAATAAGGCTGGAGGTATGTTAGTGGTGAGAGTACAGAAGTGCAATTTAATTCAAAATGTGCAACTAACGAGAAGTGGGACAATATTGGAGTTGGCATGAAAAGATAGACAAGATATAATTGAGGACAGAAAGGTAGGGGGAAAATATGAGATATCATTACAAAGCTCCTTAGGTTTTATTAAAGCTTTCCTAATTAAAGGGAAATCTGAATTGTGTATATTATGGATGGAATAACCCCCTCCCCAAAAAGAAAAGGAGGACTTGTGGCACCTTAGAGACTAACCAATTTATTTGAGCATGAGCTCTAGCCACACAAGTGACTTGTAGAGGATGACAGAGATTTTCAAAGCTGCCTAGGGGATTTGAATGCCCAATTAAAATTAATGTGAACTGGGTATCCAAATCCTCTAGACTTCTCTGAAAATCTCAGCCATTCTCTACACTATAGCTAATTTGTTCTTAAACTTTTTCTCTCTACCTACCATCCATAGCTGCTTTTTCCACAGGCTCTCCTAGGTGGAATATGGTCCCAATAAATGTTAAGAGTTCAGGCTCACCTGTCAAACCCACGATGTTCAAGTGGTCTCGAATGGAGGCAAAAAGAGTTTATCCATCCCTGGATAAGCAATGTTAAGTAGTATCTGCAGAGTTCCAACATTAGCAAATACATGTGAATGGGAAATGCCAGGTCATCAGCGGGTGAAACTGCACCAAGCTCCACTGAAGGCAATGCACTGCTCCCATTCATACCAGCTGAGGATTTGACCTATAATATTTACCTCCCTTTCTGATACCATTTTCAGGGCTACTGTTAAAATCACAAATTACATATAACCCTGCAATGTAGGCATCTGACCAATGCATGTTGCAACCTTCAGGTTACAGGGCTCTCAAGTCCACTAAGGCCACTTTGTGCCATGTAAGCAGGGCAAAATGGCCTTAAAATGGCTGGAGATAACCAGCGCTGTACTCCTCCTTTGCAGGGGAACTCTCTGCTGGCGGAAGTGTGGCATGTGCTAGCCATCTCATTGTCCCCAGTGTAAGGGCATATTGAGGGCATTCTGTTGGGCAGGGCATCTAGGTAACGGGGAAGAGGTGTGGTGAAGTGAAGCTCAATTATGCCTGTTCCTCCATTGATGTAAGATCCCTCAGGAACCATATGGCAGTGGCATAAATTAATTGCCCTTGTGTACCTTTCAATTGCGCTGAGGCTGGGCAGCTCTCAATCAGGGAACTGCAACCAGCTCAATGTGACACTCCCCCCACATCCTTCCCCTTCCACTCCATCCATGTGGAATGTGAACAGATTGGAAAATCAAACCCATGGCATTATTACATCAGGAACATTGCAGGAAAAAAAATCTGGGGCTGATGTTGAGAAGAAATCCAACCTCCCCCATTACACTTTGTATATTTCTACAATATATGGCATTCCTTGACATCTTTCTTTCTTTAACACATTGGGATATTTTTTCCTAAACTAAGCAGATTAAGAGGATCTTCTACCTGGAAAATATCTGGGGGGAAAAAGTTCAAAATTAAAATTCTAAAACACAGTAGAAGAGAAAACAGGAGGGGAATGAAAACATTTTCTGAATATGATCAGATTCATTGGAACACCAGACCATTAACTCTTGGAATCACCCTCCAATAACACCATTAAACACTGGAGAAACAAAGGGGAAAATTACTCAGATGTTATCATCTCCCAAAACTGAGTTGCTGCTTCGAATAATTACCTTTCTCTGAGATACCCATCTCTCCCACTTTAGCATTGCCTCTACCTTTCCACCTGAATCCCACCCGCGCCCCTCAGCCAACCTTCTGTATACTTGCTTCCCAGTCTTAGTCTCCTTCTGTCCCAAAATCCTATCCATAGCCTTAGAGTTCCTGAGCCTCTTAGTTCTTTGCCTGCTTGCAACAACCCTGATAGACCCTTCAAGTCTGTGACTTCACCAACTGTAATTATTAGGAACAAAGCCATCTGATGTGCATTCCATACTTTGGTGATGGGCATTATAAAAAAACCTGAGACAGAGAAGTGCCGATCCATGAGGGCAGGTGGTGTACGGGTTCAGCAGTTCTAGGGATGTTAATGATGTTGGAGGCTGAGAGGATGCTAATGGAATATAAATATAGGTAAGTAGGATGAAAAGAGATATAATTTTGTTCAGTTAAAATTTGCATTGGTGCAAGGTGGCAGCAATGGCCCCACAGACTTCATGCCTTGTAACGAAGGGAAAGTCTATCATGAGCTGTCTTATTGGTTGTGATATGTGATATAGACTGTGGCATGGGGGCTTATTCAGATCTCCCACTGTTTTACACTCATCAAACTGCATGGAATTCAATGGAGTTACTCCTAATTTACACCAGACTCAGATTACATTTGTTGCCTTCTCTCACTTTTCACTTCACACCTTCTTTCATAAAAAGAAAAGGAGTACTTGTGGCACCTTAGAGACTAACCAATTTATTTGAGCATGAGCTTTCGTGAGCTACAGCTCATGCTCAAATAAATTGGTTAGTCTCTAAGGTGCCACAAGTACTCCTTTTCTTTTTGCGAATACAGACTAACACGGCTGTTCCTCTGAAACCTTCTTTCATGTCACTCCTACACTTAGAGAAGCTGCCTTCTTTCATGCCAAACAACCTTTAATCTTCTTTCAAATCTGCCCTGAAAACCCAAGTCTTTAATGAAGCCTTCCAACTTTGATCGCCATGCCAAGGATAGCCATTCTTCCTCTTCCTTTTGAGTTATTAGCCTACATTTGTCTGGATTAGATTGCAGACTCCTCTGAGCAGGAATCTTCTTTTGTAGGTGTCTGTAAAATATGATGTACACTTGCGGTGCTCCGTAAATAATAACTCATCTCAGTCAACATACCAATGTGTTACATGGCTTTCCCTTCTTTGCTGAGAGACATTCACAAAATCCTTTTGTCCCCTCTCATAGATGATATGAGCAATTTCCATTCTGTGCTCTCACATGTGCTGTTCTGAAATATAATGAAGAATATTTCAATCTTCTATTTAGTAATAATGTGTATTGAATTGTTTTTGAGTGAATTAAATGAGGTCTATTACCAAGACCATACTCTGTCAGTTAACAAGAATGCATATGAATGAGTGTAATTCATTCATTGATTAACAGAGCTAGTATCTCCAAGCATGTCACAAATCTACATTCCTGAGGGTTGGATCTCTGATTTAGCTGAAAGATGTGTACAGCGACATGTAGTTCAGAGAGTTCCTTGCTCTACAGGCATTCCTGGACATTTTTCCTCACTAGCCACTTTCAATATATTACACTGAGGAAATTTGCTTTGCTGTTAGTTTCAGGCACGAGAATGTGAAGAACAGGTGTGTAAGGTTAGAATGTCCCAATGTCAATAAATTAGTGATAGGAAAATCCCTAAAAAGGTGGTTTGCTCAGGATTTTTCCCAAAATTTCTAAACCTGTGAGGACCGCAGCAGGTCCCAGGGACTTCCTTCTCCATGCACCCACTTTCTGAATCGCTATCTTAGCCCATCCTTTACACACAACTATATGCTTCCCTCTAAAAGTTCCTGATTCTCCAACCAGCTGTGTTATCTACTTGTGGTGAGGTTCAGCAGCCCGTTTACACCCTTTGTGGATCTCCTTCCACCTCAAGAAGAGGACTGGGGCATGCTATCCTATTTGTAGTATTATGTTTTCCTAATTAGGGTGTGACTAGGTGTCCCCCAAATCTTCTCTGGTTTATCCCACTTCCCCAACTTCAGTCAAGTGGTCTTAGCTGGATGTGGCCCATTTCCTGTGCTTCTAGTAATCTCTCCAATAGGTCCATTAATAATTCACACAGTATGTAGTGAGGTAGAGGTGTTGGGAAATTCAGAGCCTGCAAGACCACTCCCTCCATTCCCATGAGAGCTGTTAATTTTGTTCCTGAACCAGACGTCTCTGAATCTGCACTAGCAAAAGTCTTCTCCAACTCTAATTTTCAGTCTGTCCTAATACAGCATCCTGAAACAGCAAGAGTTGAGTGGAGGCCTCTCAAAATTAGACACAGTGGCCATGTTGACACAAGGAACAGCTGAAATGCTAAAACATGTTAAAATCCTAGTGTAGCAAAGTTATTTTAACATGTTAGCTGCTAGAGATAATTTTAATGTTAGTTAATGCATATTAGCCAACACATTAAAAAGCATACTTTCTCCCACTGGTAAAAACATGGTCAGTATGTAGCACCAAAAATGCACAAGTCTGAGCTCATGCACAGAGAGAGTATAACCTAACCCAGCTAAAGAATAGTACTTAGGAAAAGAATTGAGAGGCTGCACTACAATTATGTACATAATGTTTTTGACAGCAGTATAACAAAATAGTGTGGGGGAAAGACTTCTGATAGTAGAAAGCTCTTTAATCCAGCAGACATAGGTATAACAAGATCCAATGGCTGGAAGCTGAAGCTGGACAAATTCAGACTAAAAATAACAATTTTAAAAATGTGAGGATAATTAACCATTGAAACAACTTATCTAGGGATGTAATGGATCTCTATCACTTGAGGTCTTTAAATCAAGATTGATTCTCTTTCTAAAATTTATGTTCTAGCTGAACCAGGAGTTATGTGCTTGATGCAGGAATCACTAAGTGAAATTCTATTCCATAACAATTCCTGTTTTACGCAAGAAGTCAGGCTAGATGATTATAATGATCCTCTCTAGCCTGAACATCTATGAATCTTTGGGGCAGGGTATGTCTTTTATTTTATTTTATGTTTGTACAGTGAGGGCTCCTGACAATACAAATAAATAGTGAAACCAGGTTGTAATATGCATACACATGTTCTATGATAAAGATATACCTAAAAGACTTGGATGTACCATAAGGATAAACGCCAAAACCACTGGTGTTCAGCAAATGAGAAATATAGGCATTCCTCAGCAATCAGACTGTGTTTGTGAATATAGTAAACCCATATGAAAATATGAACTTTTTTTGCATCTTAAAGTAAGTAATTTTATTTACATTTTTATTTAGAGCCTACTTGGAAGGTAAAATTTATCCTTTAGTATTTAAAAATAATATATTTAAAATAGGAAATAAAATTTCTTCCCTGTCATCTTTGGTTTCTTCTTGATATCCAGCTTGAGATGAAGCTGCATCAGTTACAAAGACTCAGTGAACACACAGTTGAAATAAAACATCTGGTATACGACCTGCGTATCACAAGCTTTAGAGTCCTGTGGCCTCCAGAATTATTTTTTCTGAAGAAACCAGAGAAGGAAAATAGCAGAGAAAAATAAAGCTTGAAGATCACTCTCATTGACATCAAGGCAGTTATAAGTGGAGTGGAAAACATTTATATCCCAATATACTCAACACTACAGTAATGGCTATTGATCTCCAGGAACAGAATAAGGGATATTTAAAATTATCTTGATTCAAGTGGTTCTGGGAATCTCCTTTTCTTTGCTGACCCAAGCACCATCTGACGCCACATCCCCAGTTGCCTGCCCTTCTTTCTCTCTCTCTCTATTTATTTTATTTTACACTTTACTTTATTCTCTCGCCTTAGCTTCTTCTCTTCCATCTCCACTTTTTCCATCTCTCCCTCCCCCACTTCCTTTTTTATCTGTGTGATTGATATGGTACATAGACAAGGTACATGTAAAATAATCAGAATTCATGGACTGTAGCATACAGTGCGTTCTTGTGCCTATTATAGGGAAAGAGACATACAATAGCTTTGCAGTCTGACTGGCTGATAAATTCTACTTTCAAAGTAATAAAAGCTTAAGTGACCTGTCTCTGGCTGAAATATATTAGCCTCTAGAGCATTCAGAATTCTAATGTAGAATCTTTTGAAGGTACAAAAATGGTCACCCTTTAATGAGTGCTCTAGCAGGGACTGAAAAGACAAGCCTGCCAAGGAAGATATGCATTCATTCTTCATTACTTTTACCTAATTAATGAAATTCTGTTAATCCCTCAGTGAGGTGACATGTCAGAATGTAAAGTTTTGGTCTATTATAAGGATACTTAGGGCTTTACAAACAAATATTATAAACACAAAAATATTTATGTTTGCAAAGTCCTAAGTATCATTATTATATTTCATATTGTCTTGATCAATGTAAAGTTCTCAGGGGGCTGGCCTGCTCCCTGCAATGCATAGTACAGCATCACACATTTAAACGACACAGTTCCTCAAAGGTCCTCTAGGCACAGAATTGTATAAATGTGTACCTGTGCAGGACGCTCCCCCGTCCCCCGGTCTTTAATTACAAACATGCTCTGGGTAGACCCAGCCTTATCATGAATGCATTTGTGCTGATTATGTTAATTTCCTAGCATCATTTCCCCAGGGCTCAGAGACAGAAAGCAGAGTAAATCTATACAAACACCCGCTACCCCACCCAAACGCACTTCTCTTTCAGTCCGGTCACCAGAAACTTCACGAACCCGGATTTCTGTAGCTTTGCACTGAAGTACCCTTGCCGTGATGAAGCTCCCAGCACCCAGCTGGCCCGCTAGTGGACTCACGGCACCTTCACTCGAAAGAAAGATCAACAACGTTTTTGTCTCTCCCAAGGCTCACACTCCCCTCCCCGAAGCACGAGAAGGCCCCCAGGCACTTTTCCCATTGCCCACCAGCAGGAGACCTGCTTCCTAGGCCAGTTTGCCAAAGGGCTAAAAGGGAAGCAAGTCACGTATCAGCTCCGCACTGCCTGGGTGAATTCCTGGTGCGGGGCTGCGGGCTGGTAATGGGGTGGTTAGGTGGGGTGCGCGTGTGTAAGTAAGGGGGGGGGACGACGACGACGACTCCCTCTTCCCACTTCCCCACCCTCGGCTCCAGCCAGCAGTGCTGCAGCGAGACGTTATTTCCAGGAGCTGTCCATGAGCTCAATCAGCGGCCCAGCCTGCTGGCTGGCTGGCTGGCTGGCTCGCCGCTCTCTGTGAGGGCCGCTAGAATAATCCCAGCGCTCGCGCCGCTCCCCACCCCCTCGCTCGCGCACACACACACACACACACACGGGCTGGAGGAGACTGGAGGCTGGTGTGCGCGGCTGCCGCAGAAGCCGCCCCGCCGCGGAGCCCGAGGGGAGGCACAGCCGCACTGCCGCGGACTTCCACGGGCAAGGTCATGCGGTGACCGGCTTCCAGCCCTTCCCACCCACCGCTGCAGGGCGCGCCGGGGGCCCGGGTTGGCTGGGACGGCGCTGCGGCCAGGGGCGGCAGAAGGGAGGCGCGGGGCTCTGGGATGATCAGAGCTCCCTCCTCCTGCCCTTGGCGCTGTCAGAGGAGAGGCCGGGAGGCGGCTGCGGCGGTCGCAGGCGGAGGCCGGGCGGCAGGGCTGGGGAGAGCACAGTGACAACGAGAAGGAGCCCAGGAGCAGGAAGATGGCTTCCCCCACCTCCCCCGGCCCGGGAGGCGGGTCCTCTCCCCCCGCCAGCCAGGCACGCATTCGCCAGGTGGGTGCACCCTGGAGAGGGCACATAGCTTGGGACTGACGCACACCGCTTCACAGGACCCACTGCACGGCACTGCCACACAGTGCCTCCCTCCACTCACTGCATGGCACTGCTACGCGCTGCCGCACGATACACTGCATGGCACTAGCCTCCACTGTCTCACAGTACACTGCGCGGCACTGCCATGCAGCCACACAACACTCACTGCATGGCACTGCCACACAGTGCCTCCCTACACTCACTGCATGGCACAGCTACACAGTGCCTCCCTACACTCACTGCATGGCACTGCTACGCGCTGCCGCACGATACACTGCATGGCACTAGCCTCCACTGTCTCACAGTACACTGCGCGGCACTGCCATGCAGCCACACAACACTCACTGCATAGCATTGCCACACAGTGCCTCCCTACACTCACTGCATGGCACTGCTATGCACTGCCGCACGATACACTGCATGGCATTGCTACACACTGCCGCATGATACACTGCATGGCATTGCTACACACTGCCGCATGATACACTGCATGGCACTAGCCTCCACTGTCTCACAGTACACTGCGCGGCTCTGCCATGCAGCCACACAACACTCATTGCATGGCACTGCCACACAGTGTCTCCCTACACTCACTGCATGGCACTGCTACGCACTGCCGCACGATACACTGCATGGCACTGCTACTCACTGCCGCACGATACACTGCATGGCACTAGCCTCCACTGTCTCACAGTGCACTGCGCGGCACTGCCACACAGTGCCTCCCTACACTCACTGCATGGCGCTGCTACACAGTGCTTCTGAACACACTGCATGGCATTGGCACAACAACACGCCCTGCACGGCATTGGTACAACCACACATTGTAATAACAGCCTGGCGCACACTGACGTGATGCTGCACAATACACACATTGCAAGGCACTGGCACACAACTCAGTCTGCATGGAATGCATAACGCAGAGTAATGTATGCTCCCTGTACAAAACAAACACACGCTCACTTCACACTGACACCATGTGTCACACACAGCAGACACACGTCTGACATAGAGAGCACTGAACCAAATACCACAGATGACACTAACCACCACGTGTGTTAAAACATCACAGACCCACACAAAGCCTGACTCATTCATCTCACACACAAAACACTGCACATGAGAAACACCACATAAGCTGGAAGAGTCAAATAGCAGGACATTGTATGACAGACAAACACCACTTGTCTCTTTTTCTCTCTCTCACAGACACAGAGTTTATCATTGTATTCTAGAGGAATGTGGGTTTCGATTTGCACTGTGTCATATAAGAGGGGCTGAAGCCATCTGGGTGTCTAAGAGCTGAGTGGTGTATGCTTGTGATCTGCAGATGCACTGATGACAGGAAGGGTAGCACAGAGGCGGTATGTCAATGTGTGTAGGCGTGAGTGTGATCTTTCTTGGCTGTGTTATTATTGTCATGCTCTGATGAGACACGGAGATAGCAAGGGTGGCTCTGATATAGGAGGAGGCAGGCTGAGGATGAAGTTTGGAGTTTTCCTTGGTTACTGGCTCAGCTAGGATTGGGCTTCAGGAAATGAAGTGGGGATATGTGAGGATAGCAGATGGCAGGTTTTTTTCTCTGTAAATGATCAGAGCTGCAGTTGTTGGGAAGGGGTGGGGGCGGGTGGAGGGGAAATTCAATGTAAACATGGAAAAGTTATGATAACATCTAGAAATGCTCTCAAGTGTTATGCTCACCTTCGGTTTACATCGCTTTCCACATCAGGAGCTCCAGGGGTTCATGATTCATGTAAGTTGTAGTATTATAAGGACTCTCAGTTTCTTTTCCCTTCATTCCACTTGTTTGGCAACTCAGTAAAAAATTAAGGGGTTATAGATCTACCTGTTTGTAATCTAATTAAGTTCTGGTGATTATGCTGTACTGGATCTTTCTTTTGACTGCCATCTTGCTGCCTCTGTCTGTTGCTTCTGTTGATTTTGACATGCTGTGTCAAGGGCAAAGATAAGATATCTATACTGTTGAAATCTAATAAATATGTTCTTCAGTGACATGCACTAAATTTTCTAAAATGAATTCAGTTGTAGAAAGCAAGACCCTATGTTGTGATGACGCTCACTTTGTAATGTGGTACCACCCTGTTAAAAAAAAAGAGAGAGATCTGATAGCAATATTCCTATATAATGTCTCTAAATAAAATTCACTGTTGCAATCATTGTGTATTTTTGATATTTACATGGCAAGGATTTGTAAACCTGTTAATACTTCCTAAATAAATATATAGAAAGTAGGACCCTAGTTGCTACTGAATTACATTAAAATTATGACAAAAAACACATGGGCCTTTCCCATCAGTGTGTACCAATCATATAAAACCCCTCCCAACTCAGTGAGCTAGATGATGTCATTTTATGAACATTGATGGTGAGGGATCCAAAAACCAAAGTATCACTGAATTTTAACAGGCAGAAGGACTGAAAGGTAAAGCACTGAAAGCAAACAGTTAATTATTAATCTGTTGACACATCTCTCCTTACCTCTTCACATTCTAATATAAATATACAAACAAGACTATTTCAAATACTATGTAGGTGTGCATGTGTAATACATGCATGTATGTTAAATATAATACTCAAATGTATATATATTGAATTATATCAGGATGCCAAGAGATTAATACAAAGTTACATTAAAACAATTTGAATAACAGTAGCTATACATTCACCAATATTTTAGGGTGTGTTACTATTGTGGGTGAGACATGTTTATTGAAGCACATGAATACAATTCCTAATTAATATAATGCAGCAATTTGCAAAAAAGAGCTGTAAATTGTAGTGACTGGTGCATTTTTTGAATTTTGAAATTGTTTTTTAGAGTTATTTTGCCATTCTCCACCTGGCCTGGTCTTCATCCACTCAAGTAGAACAGAAATACTGCCAACTTCTGACTGCAGGGAATTACAGGTTTCAGAGGAACAGCCGTGTTAGTCTGTATTCGCAAAAAGAAAAGGAGTACTTGTGGCACCTTAGAGACTAACGAATTTATTTGAGCATGAGCTTAGCTGTAGCTCACGAAAGCTCATGCTCAAATAAATTCGTTAGTCTCTAAGGTGCCACAAGTACTCCTTTTCTTTTTTCAGGGAATTACAGTGATTCAGACTAACACGGCTGTTCCTCTGAAACCTGTTCTGCAAGTGTTTTTGAACATACTAGAAATAGAATAGATAATAATGGGCGTGTCCTGCTAAGGTCTGAAATGTTGAGATTGCTTTTTATATTAGGACTTCAAAAGTAGCATGATTAAGATGATAAAATTAGTAAATTAAAAACTGTTCAAAAAAGGATTCTTGGTAAGTAATCAGATTAGTGTGCCACATATGTAGTCTTCTTTGTATCTTCTGTTGACAAAGTAGTGATAGTGTTTATGGGGAAATCTCAGCTTTTGGAGTTCAGATAACCCTTCAGAAGTTTGGATGATTATCTGAACTAGCCAAATCTATTATGTATTGAAAGGTCAGGCTGGAAATCTTGGGTAACAAGGCTTTTGTGTGAGATTTCAAGACACATTTGCTTCTGGCCCCAGCTGGAAATACCACAAGAATAGTCTTTTTTTCAAGTATTTTGGCACTTCCTGTTCCTTCCCAGCTGGAAACTGAACATGAGGAAGAAAGTATCCGGGCTTTAATAGTTCAGTCTGAGTTTGATTCTAGAAGTGAGCAAAGTGAATAGGGGACTTTCCTGAATTCATTTGACCCTTTCTACACAGTGAAATCAGCAAAGACTTGGAGTATTGGGACAAAAAGAATTTACAGTAAAGAGCTAGCAAGGACCTGACGAAATCAGACCTTGAAGAAATCAGGTCCCAAACCTAAACACTAGGAATCTTTGAGAAATCAGGCCATAGAGAAACTTGTAGCTTGTTTGCTTATAATTTATTCAGTATGTTTATTTGAACCAGATATGCAGAATCATCCCTTGTAGTGACTGAGAGCTGCTATGGCGACTCACCTCAATAGAAATTTGATTTGATCCTCCTGCACATTTCAACCCTTTGGTGCATTTCTTAGATCTATGGTCAGAATCTAAGTCATGAATATGACTTGAATATTACGTTTCCAGTTATTTATTTTTAATAGCAAACAGTTGGGGGTTGCTGTTGCCACAGTCCATAGAGGGAAGGGAAAAAGAGAAGCCATTCTAGAACCAGTGAGTTGATCTCTACATGGTAATATTAAAAACACAGAGACAATATTGCATTCCATCCAAAAG